AAAAAAAAAATTTACAGTATTCTTAATTGAACTGGTATTCAGACTAATTCATAAGATGTATCATGGCATGTACAAAAAGCAATATAACAGCTTATTTTTTTTTGCCATTAATTAGCTTGCAAAGAGAAGGCTTCCTACAGGTTTTCCTGTGAGTAGCATTTTGATAATGATCTTTTCTGCTTTGTTTTATTTTGTGTTTGTTTAGCTAAAGCATCCTTTTCAATATGTTGGCTAACACAGACCATCTTACTCCACAATGTTATTGATAGGTGTAACTTATACTATGAGTTATTAATCAAAATGCTATTCTCTTTGATGGTTTATTTGTCTTGTTTTCAGATGTCAGCCCTGTAATTGTCATCTCTCAGGAGCCGTGAATGAAACCTGTCACTTGGTCACGGGCCAGTGTTTCTGTAAACAATTTGTCACTGGCTCAAAGTGTGATGCTTGTGTTCCCAGTGCAAGCCATTTGGATGTCAGCAATCTATTGGGTTGCAGCAAAAGTAAGTGAACTCTGGCCCAGTGCTGGCATGTGAAGCAGCACCGTACAGAGAAGAGTGTCTTATTGTTTTCTCTCCCCATTTAGAATCCATCAGACAGGCCTAGGTACAATGTGGAGAATTTAGGTAAGAAACGAAAAAAAATATTAAATAAAATTTGCGTGGTGTAATTTTCCTTAATTAAATAATTGGAAATGATGATATAATTATGTTTATAGTGGGAAATCTCTAATGGTTTTTTTTTTTTGGAATGAAATTATCAGTAAGGTTTCATCAAGTCCTGGTTTTCTCCAAACTGAGGGTTTCCCCAGGACATAGGAATTTCAGTGCTGAAATCAGGATAGTGCTGGTTAATCTGAAATAGTCACTATACCACACAGACATTTCCAGGAAATTTTCTATACCAAATGGAATATTTATTTTTTTATTTATTATGAGTTTTATATTCTTCCATCCCCCAAATTTTATGGAAGCTATTTTACTATTAGTTGTCTATTAATATTGTCATTATTTCTCATAGCATGTTATTTACTCCTATGATTGATGTTCCTTTGTTTCTACCTCAATTACATTAGTTGTTTCAACATCTCTCTCATTTATATTTTTAATTCCTTGAAGCCAAAGATTATAATTTAGTATCTTTTGACTTCTCAACACCATTCTCCAGTGCCTTGAATTGACCTCTCAAGGTCACCTGCAGTTCTGCATTTTTGTAACATATTGACGGTGTCTCTATATTTACTTCAAGATCATATATCCTTACCTTTTCCAGAATTCCTAAGAAATGCGTGCTGGGAGCATGTGGTAAGGAGCCCCCAGAACATACTGTGCTAAGCATATTCTCCTTGGAGTGTCCTGAGACTGTCATGAGTCACAATGCTAGGAAATGCCACAAGTCATGACAGATCATTGCAAACCAGCATGCCTAGAACTCTGCTATCTGCATTTGAGGAAGAAAGAGAGAGATAAGTGATGGAATATTGGGTTACACAGCAACTGTACTAGATTTTGAGGTAGTAGAAGATGGGGTGTAGCTAATGATTAAGAAGACATATTCAGATTTTGTGTTTGTGTAGTTTCTCTTAAGTATTTCATCAGTCCCTCTGGATTTTATTATAAGTAAAACTGTCGGTATATATGTTTTTCTTGGGAAAGGATTATCATAGTTGCCTTTGTGTATAAATACAGTTTCAACACAAATCTGGATTTCATTGGCCATTTAATTAATACTTGTTACTCATTGATTAGCTATATAATTGATCGATTTGTGTGCAACAAAAAAATCCAGCGTATTTCTTTTGGATGTGGGTTGTCGGTCATCATTGATACTATGGAATTATGGCAGTCTTACATACAACCTACCTAATCTTAGTGATTTCTGGTCAGTTCTGCCACTCATTTCAAGTGTGAATATTGGCACCTGCTCCATTTTTTGCTACCTACTTTTGCATCTGAGACGCAGGCTAGGAATGATGCCTCAGGCACAACTGAGTTGTCTGGTCACTGGACACCTAGCTTACATTTTTTACGTTGTCTTTTCTTCTCTGGGCTAACATTCTTGGTCTTTCCAAGTGTTTCTGACTTGCCATAATTTAGAAAACTTTCCCATTCCTAATTATTCTTCCTTGGATATGCTCTTTTTTATTTTTTATTCCTTTAAAATTGTAATACTTAGCATTAAACACATTCCTTTGACTGCTTGTGGTATATGATGCTGCTGTCTTAGGTTTGTATTTAACAAAGTGTGCAAAATGCTATGCAAAGTTCGAGGCTCAGCAACATCAGAGGTAATTCATTAGAAAATAAATTAGGATCCCTGCCTTTAAAGGAGGTTTAAACATAGACAGCAAGAGCAAATGATCCTACTGGAAAGGAAGTGCTAACTTCCTTTAGGTAGGAAGGTGCTAACTGTGGGAAGAGGGTGCAGGGAGCTCATCATGATTTTCATACGGTACTTGCCTATATATATATATATATATATATATATAATTAAAATTTGGTATTACATCAAGATGTACTTTAGCTTTTTATTTTATTATTTATTTTTATTTTTATTTTTTTATTGGTTATGAATATTCATGGAGCACAAAGCTGATTGTCACCACTTGTGCCCAAGATGTGATGGCCAGATCTATACTCGTTTTTTATCCTAGAGACAGCTGGCTGGAACAACTGATGCGATCGGAAGGAATGCAGTGCTACCTGTTGTTGCAAATGCGAACTACCTCAGGCTAGGATTTGTCTCTGTGTCCAATAGATGTCAAGAATGTGTTTTTCTTGAAAATTAAAATGCCTCATGGAGCCCCTCTACACAGTTTGGGAACTGCAGGATTATAGGATTATAACTATTAAAATATTTTCTACTTCTCTAGAGGCCACTGACAATAGTTGAGCAATATCATCTATGATTTTTTTTTTTTTTTACTGGGGGTGCGTGGAGCGGGGACTCAGAATAGGAATATGATTTCCAAAGTGCAGGAGGACTGAATTCCAATAGAGGAGTTAGATCCTGTCTGACAGTGTGCTCCTCGATTGGGTGATTTCACTTCTTTCCTATTGATATTAGTTTCGTGTTCTCAAAATGATAGTCATTTTCCTTGATGGGAGAGACAGGAGGCAGACAGTAGTTAAATACTTCTGTTTTCTGTATGCTTTCCTATTGAAGGATATTCCAGTTGTCTACACTTCGGTCTATGAATTCAGCTAAGATTACATATTTATTATTATTCATTACTCCGTTTTTGTTTGTCTTCTTGACATTCTTGTCACTTTTATGTTTTTTCCTTGGTCATTTATCTGTATTTTTACGTGCATTTTTTCTTTATCTCTACTTATCAGAGAATCTCATAGCTCTCCTTTTATTAACAGCTTTATTGAGGTATAATTTACATAAGCTTAACCATGTTAAATATACAATTTGATGAAGTTTAGTAAGTTTATAGTTGTGCAAACGTGAGGAGTCTTCAGAAGTTCATGGAAAGATTCATATTATTTTTTAATTCTATTTTTCCATCAACTTTTTGATGTACGCTCATAACTATAATATAGAACAGTTCTATCACTTCAGAAAATTTCCTTTGTGCCCATTTCCAGTCAATCCCCACTTTCACTTCCAGCCCCAAACAACTAGTTATACAGTTTTTAATGCAATAATTTTGCCTTTTCTATAAATTTTATATAAGTGAAATCATGCAATATTTAGGCTTTTACAATATTTGAGTTTTTGTGTGTAGCCTCTTTCTCCTACCAGAATGGTTTTGAGGTTGATCCATATTGTCGCTTCTCCCAGCAATTTGCTCCTCTTAATCTCTGTGTAGTATAGCAATTTTTGAATGTTCTATATTTTGTTTATTCACTCATCAATTGATAGACATGTAGATTGTTCCCATTGTTTGTCAGTTATGGAATAATGCATCTATGAACATATGGTTACAAGTCGTTGTATGGAGATATGTTTTTAAAACTCTTGGGTAAACCTGGGAGTTAAAAGGCTGGTTTATATGGAGAGTATATTTTCATTTTTTAAGAAACTGCTAAATTGTTTCCCAGTGTGACTGCACCATTTTGCATTTGTGTTAACAATTTGTGAGAGAGCCAGTTTCTGTGTGGCCTCAGCAACATTTGGCACTGACTGTATAATAGCACTTTAGTGAGTATGCAGTGGTATCTCATTGTGGTCTTAATTTGCATTTTCCTTAATGACTAATGTTGTTGAGCATCTTTTCATGTGGGTTATTTAACATTTGTGTGTTTTATTTGGCAAAGTGTCTTTCAAATCTTTTGGCTTACCTTCTTATTGAGTTAAATAATTCTTGAAATATTTGGCATGCAACTTGCAAATATGTCCTCCTATTATGTAGATTACTTTTGTTTTTTTAATCACAATCTTTAAAGAGCAAAAGTTTTTAATTTTTATGAATTGTAATTTACCGAGTTTTTCCTTTATGGGTCATGTTTTTGCATCCTTTCTAAGAAATCTTTGTTTGACTCAATATAACAAATATTTTCTCTTTTGTTTTCATTTTATAGTTTTACATTTTTAACTTTTACATTTAAGCCTGTAAAACATTTTGAATTAGTTTTATGTATGGTGTGAGGGAATCACCTAAATTTTTTATTTTGTATTTATTTGTTGATGCATGAATATCTTAGTGTTCCTATAATATTTGTTGAAATGATGATCCTTTCTCCATTGAATTGCCCAAGCATATATGCAAAAAAAAAAAAAAAAGAAATCAATTGTTCCCATAGATAACATCATATTCAATGGAGAAAGACTGAAAATTATTCTCCTAAGATCAGGCACAAGACAAAGATGCTCACTTTTGCACTTGCCATTCAACATCATACTAGATGTTTTAGCCAGAGCAATTGGACAAGAAAAAGAAACAAAGCCATACAAACTTAGAATAAAATTATCTCTATTTGCAGATGACATAATTCTATATATAGAAAACCCAAAGGAATTCGCAAGAAACCTACTAGAGAGCTAACACATAAATTCAGCAAAGTTGCATGTCATAAGATCAACACACAAAATTAGTTGTGTTTCTGTAGACCACCAGTGAACAATCTGAAAAAGAAATCAAGAAAGCAATTCCACTTACAATTTATCAAAACTTAACCAAGTAAATGAAAGACTTGTATACTGAAAACCACAAAACATTGCTGAAAGAAATTAAAGAAGACATAATTAATGGAAAGATGTCCCTTATTTATGGATTGGAATACTTAATATTGCTAAGATAACAATACTACTCAAAGCAATCTACAGATTCAATGCAATTTCTATCAAAATCCCAATGACTTTTTTTTGTAGAAATAGAGAAGCCATCCAAAAAATTCAGATGGAATCTTAAGGGCTGCCAGAAGCCAAAACAATCTTGAAAAAGAAGATGGTTGGAGGAGTCACACTTTTTGACTTCAAAAATATCAACAAAGGTGCAGTATTCAAAACAATGTGGTACTGCCATAAGGACAAATACATAGACTAGTAGAACAGA